TGAGCAGTTGTTAAAGCAAAACAATTTGAACCAAAGTCAAAAGTACTACTTTCTCTGCAATGGCGATCCTTCCGGTGTTGTTTCGTTACTACAAGCTTTTAAAGTAGAAATATATGAAATACATTCCTTAGGTATATTAAGCATAAATGAAAATGAAATTAGCTTTGATTTAAAGTGGAAATCAAGCTGTCACAACTGTGGCGAGTTAAGAATAGTAAAGAATTTAAAATTCCCTCGGAGAAAGTATGTATGATATGTCTAGGTGACTTTAAAGTAAACCATTTAGAAAACCCAATGACTATTTTCCTTCATCAAGAAGTCAGATGCAAAATCAAAGTAGACTGGAGTGATGGGCCATATTAATATTTGCATACGTGGTATTTTGAGAACACTAATCGAGTTTTGTGTCTCAGGCGGCGGAATCTTGGTTTGTGAGGAAGGGACATGGCCATGGTAATCCTTGATTCATTAACTTTCAATAAAGAACTTGCCAAAAATTAGAGAACTCTGAGGACACTCATAAAACACAGAGTTTGATTTAAATTTTACAACGTAATCATAATACAGTGGTTGTTATTTAACACCCCAATGACTTCGTCAATTGTAATCTCTCCTCGACGCAGCACGGATTATTAATGTTTGATAAGTTTTCTTTAAAATGACTCAATGGCATTTTATTCCCTTTATTGTTAGTATTACTCGAGATTTAACTGGATCTGTTTCCCATTACATTACTCACAACATTTGCGATTAATAGTACACATCTTTACGGGAGCTACTGCAGTTATTAAAGCAGTAAAACTATTTGAACTATTTCAGAATAAAACTGAGATGTGCGCGTACGGAGACATCTGTCGGCCGCTTTTATGGCAAAGATTACGTGCAACTGTTGTTGTTAGGACAAGTTTCCAAACTAAAATACCTGAAAAAGACTTAAGTGAAAGACTTAGTTAAAAAGACTGATTAGATATTTATGATAATATTTCCAGTTTCGATTTTAACACATGGAAACAAAGTGAAAATCACAACCGTGACATGTAAAGAATGCTTTGATATCGCTGTAACCGTTGACACAAGGTATCATTCAGACTTGTTCGGATAACTGAAGTGGAATTGCTGGGAATAACCTTTTTTTAATATGATTTTGTATTCTCAAGTTAGAGCTCAAAGAACACGTTTTGTCGATTGGTTGGTAAACTTCAATCAAATTTACATACACTGTTTGTCAGCGGCAAGTGTTTTTAATAAACAAGCATTAGTTATGTAAATTATGGATGCTACCAGGAGAGACCTAGAATTAATCAGTTTGTCTGGTTTTTTTTTTCTTGAGAGGTCTGTAAATAACAACTTTCAACATTCAACTTGAGTCAGTAGAAGCGATATCCATCACTGTAATTGAAAATTGAGTCATCTGGAAGGAAGCGAAACTGGCGAGGCTAACAAATCAATCTGAACGAGAACGAGGTGCTTAGGTTGCAAATTTGAAACGTAAAATAGGAAACTGGAAATACACAACGTCAAGTACAGTTGAATATAACTTTTAAAAGGCGATCCTGTTTATGCGCTTTGTAGAACGCTTAGGAGTGACGATCGTCGTTGAGATATTAAGAAAACCCGTGATTACGAACGCGAAAATGCTCCGTCATCATTTGGCTTGTGACGTCTCTGTATGCAGTAAGTAACAACCAACCTTTTTTATCAACCTCATTTTACGATTTGTCCAAAATTCAAAGCAAAATAAAAAGAAAGAAATATATNCTTTGTTGCTGTTAAATGACTTTGTGTGGGACTGGCACAGAACTTCGACACAACTCCCACTGCTTGAGCGATGTCTGGACGAGTTGCGATTGCAGCATAATTAGACTTCCTACAATCGATTGATACGAGGTCACATCAACCGGTCTGCTAAAACCATCTTCCTTTTGCAGCTTGACATTGAAATCAGCAGGTGTAGACATCGGTTTTGCTTCTGTTTGCCCAAACTTCTCGAGTATATTTTGGACATAGTGCCCTTGATGAAGGAAAACTTGCTTGCTTTTCACATCTTGAACGATACAGACTCCGACATAGTAATCCAGTTCTCTCATATCTTTCATCTTAAACCGCAGCTTTGGACTGTCCTCGACTCTTCTCATCTCCGTGATGTTTCTCGCTAGAATCATCAGATCGTCAAAGTGAACTCCAATAATAGTTCATGCATCCTTTCTGATAAATATGCAGGGATCTGCAGAGGCTTGAATAAAACCATTCTTCTCAATGCACTCCCGAAAAACTTTGTTCCAACAACGGGAAGACTGCTTTAACCAGTTCAGCGACTTCCCTAGCTTGTATACCAGATGCTCCTCCCCAGGTTTCACGTATCCTTCCGGCTGCTGCATGTAAATTTCATCATCAAGTTTATCGTTGAGAAAAGCTGTCTCTACGTCCATCTGGTGAATCAACAAATCATGCTGAACTGCAAACGCTAGCAAACAACGTATTGAAGAGAAACGAACTACAAGCGAAAAGGTTTCATCATAGTCAATACCATATTTCTGGGTGTAACCCTTGGCCACTACGCGTGCTTTGAATCGTTCCACTGTACCGTCGCAGGAGTGTTTCAGTTTAACCACCCATTTGCACTCAACAGCTTTCCGACCTGGGGGTAATTCAACCAACTTCCAGGTCTTGTTTTCAATCAGCAAATTGTATTCTTAATTCATGACAGGATGGAAAACGCGTGCACTGTAAGTACCTCTGGTTGTCCCATGCAAAGCCTTAGAAAACTTTTCTAAGGCTTTGTATGGGACAACCAGAGGTACTTACAGTGCACGCATTTTCCGTTCTGTCATGGTCGCGACTTTCCACTCTGCATCGTGATCACCTGATCTTGCTTCTTGTATGGATGTTCATCAATCCCAGAAAGATGATGGGCGACATGGTGTACGCGGTGAGTTGCCGTGTCTGCGTATTCGTCATAACCATATCTGACTGGTGCATTTCGTGTTCTTACTGACCTTCAAGGTTCCCCTGGCGAGTTTTCTTCTAAATTCTTCATTTCTTCTTGTTCTCATTCATCTTTTCTAGGGATTACTTCGTTTTGCTCTGCTTCCTCGCACCTTGGGTCTGACTCTGTTGTCATGGCTCGCTTCTGGCCGAAATTGTTTTCATTAAACTCCACATCTCTTCGGATATACCTCTTTCGGTTCGTCTCATCAAAACGACGATATCCATTTGAAGTTAAACTGTAGCCCACGAAACGCATCTTCCTCGATTTCTTGTCAAGCTTTCGTCGTTCACTGTCAGGTACGTGTGCATAGGCCATTCACCCAAATACACGTAAGTGGCCCACATCTGGTTTCCTTCCATATCATGTTTAATTCCTTTCTTCATCAAATAGTTCCGTAATTCAGTAGACAAATACTCGCCGCCATTATTCGTTCGCAAGTTCACACTGCCTTACCGACATCGTTGGTAACTGAGGCTTCAAATTCTGTAAACTTCTCTGACACTTCGGACTTGTGTTTCATGAAGTGTACAGCGCAGCACCAAGTGTAATCATCAATAAACGTAACAAAATACTTTGTTCCTCCAATCGATGGCGTGTGAATAGGACC